TACTGCACGACCGTGTTACCACTGCACTGCTGTAGTATAATGATACTGCAGTGCTGCAGTGGCAACATTGCAACAACGGTAGTATAGTGCTGTAGCAGCCGTACTGCAATAATGATACCCGAGCATTGCACGAATAGTACGTAACTACTAAATACCATTAGTAATAAAACTTTCATGTTGCAATACTCGAGCACGGTAGCCGTAGCGTAGGACCGTAGTGCCGTAGTGCCACCGTACTCGTAGCCTTATATGAAGGCCGTAGCTGCACTGTAGTAGTGCTGCTATCGTATTAATACTCTGCTACAGTAGTACAATTAATACTGGAGTGCCGGCCGCAGGGGTAATACAGTAGTAGGTTGGTTTTGTAATTCGTGAGTATTGTAGCAACACTCTAGTTCGGCTATACAACTGTAGTCGTACTAATGTAATAGTAAAAGAAGAAACAGCAGTAGTAGTAGTAGTAGTAATAATAGTAGTAGTAGTAGTAGTCGTAATAGTAATTATGATAGTAGCAATGGTAGCAGTAGTCGTGGAAGTAGTCGGAATAGTAGTGGTAGTAGTAGTAGTAGTAATAATAGAGGTAGTAGTAGTAGTAGTAGTGGTGGTAGTAGTATTAGTAGTGGTAGCAGTAGTAGTAATATTAGAAGTAGTAGTGGTACTGGTACTAGTAGGAGTAGTAGCCGTAGTAGTAACAGTAGTAGTAGTAGTAGTAGTCGTCGTAGTCGTAGTAGTCGTAGTCGTGATGAGTCGTAGTAGTAGTAGTAGTAATAGTGACAGTCGTAGTCGTAGTAGTAGTGGTAGTAGTAGTAGTAGTCGTAGTAGTAGTAGTAGTAGTAGTAGTAGTAGTAGTAGTAGTAGTAGTAGTAGTAGTCTAGTAGTAGTAGTAGTCGTAGTAGTAGTAGTAGTAGTGGTAGTAGTAGTAATAACAATCGTAGTCGTGATAATATTGGTGGCAATAGCAATAAACATGCCAGAAATCCTACCCGTACTAGCAACACGACTCCAGTATTGCGACCAGCAGTACTGCGGCAGTAATGGCAGCACCAGCAGTAGAAGTAGTAGTCGTAGTAGTAGTAGTAGTAGAAGTAGTAGTAGTAGTAGTAGTAGTAATAGTAGTAGTAGTAGTAGTAGTAGTAGTAGTAGTAGTAGTCGTGGTAGTAGTAGTAGTAGTAGTAGTAGTAGTTCTCTAGTGCTGTCTGTACTGAAAGTCATGCACTCGTGGCGTAGTGGTATCCCAATACCATCTCGCTCTAGCAAATCGTAGTTGTAGCAGTGGCACTAGATTGGTCGAGTCCACTACTGTCAGTAGTGCAGTAGTCTGTGGTGACAGTACTCCTGGACTGTAACAGCACGGCTCTAGGTACTGACTGTCATAGAAGTAGAGCTGCAAAACTTGGAAAACACGAATGCTCTACTACTGCAACATTCTGAAACTACCGTAGTAGGGTTGCAACAAGAAAGTAGCAGCGCTGTCATAAGCATGCAAATGCAGTAATAATAATACTAGCCCACTACTGTAGCAGTCAACTACATTAATAATAGTTTCGAAATGTAATGGTGTAGTAGGATACGGTCCGCAACATGTTGTATTAGTGTAGCAGTGGCACTGCAGGAGCTGCACTCTAATAAAGTAATCGTAGGAGGAGTGCCCTATTACCCTTGCACTGCAAGTGCGACAGCATTGTAATACGAATACGGCATTACCGCATTAGCACTGCACTGTTGTAGTATTATAATACTGCCGTGCTGAAGTGGTGACACTGCAACAAAGGTAGTATAGTGCTGTAGCAGTCGTACTGCAGTACTGGTACCCGAGCATTGCACGAATAGTACTTCACTACTAGTACCATTAGTAATAGAACTCCCAGGTTGTAGTGCTCGAGCACGGTAGCCGTACCCTAGGACCGTAGTGCCGTAGCACATCCGTACTCGTAGCCTTCTATGAAGGTCGTAGCTGCACTGTAGTAGTGCCGTTATCGTACTAGTACTCTGGTACAGTAGTAATAATAATACTGCAGTGCTGGCCGCCGGAGTAATACAGTAGTAGATTGGTTTTGTAGTTCGTGAGTATTGTAGCAATATTCTAGCTCGGCTATACAACTGTAGCCGTACTATTGTAATAATAAAAGAAGAAGAAGTAGTAGTAGTAGTAGTGATAGTGATAGTAGTAGTAGCAGTGGTAGTAGTAAAAATAATCGTAGTCGTAGTAGCAGTAGTAGTCGTGGCAGTGGTAGTAGTAGTAGTCGTCGTAGTAGTAATCGTAGTAATAATAGTAAGAGTAGTAGTAGTAGTAGTAGTAGTAGTAGTAGTAGTAGTAGTAGTAGTAGTAGTAGTAGTAGTAGTGGTAGTAATAGTAGTAACGGTGGTAGTAGTAGTAGTAGTAGTAGTAGTAGTACTAGTAGTAGTAGTAAGAGTAGTAGTAGTAGTAGTAGTAGTAGTAGTAGTAGTAGTAGCCATGTTCATAATGGTAATAGCCGTGGTGCTAGAAGTAATAATGAGAACTGAAATATTCGTTGTAAAAAATAGTAATAGTACTCCTAATAATCGTAATAGTGGTAGTGGTAGTAGTAGTAGTAGTAGTAACCGTCAAACTAGCAGCAGTAGTAGCAGTAGCCAAAGTAGTAGTAGTAGTAGTAGTAGTAGTAGTCGTAGTAGCAGTCGCAATAGTAGTGTTTGTAGTAGTAGAAGTAGTAGTAGGAGTAGTAGTAGGAGTAGTAGTAGTACTAGTAGTAGCAGTAGTAGTAGTAGTAGTAGTAGTAGTAGTAGTAGTAGTAGTAGTAGTAGTAGTAGTAGCGGTAGTAGTAGTAGTAGTAGTAGTAGTAGTAATAGTAGTAGTAGTAGTAGTAGTAGGTAGTGGTAGTGGTAGTGGTAGTAGTAGTAGTAGCAGTAGTAGTAGTAGTAGTAGTAGTAGTAGTAGTAGTAGTAAGAGTAAGAGTAGTAGTAGTAGTACTAGTAGTAGTAGGAGTAGGAGTAGTAGGAGTAGTAGGAGTAGTAGTAGTAGTAGTAGTAGTAGTAGTAATAGTAGTGGTAATAATAGAAGTAGTGCTCTAGTACTGTAGTTGGCGTACTGCTGTAGTAATGTGGTGGCAGTTGTGCCCTAGTATTGGAACAGCAATCGTTCTCTAGAACGAGCTGTAATAATATCACTGCAGTATGCAGCGGGACTGTAGCAAGACTGGCAACAGCACTCCGGAGCAATGTAACAGTAGTAATAGTAGCAGTATTCTAGTTCTGGCTGTAGCAGGGGCACTAAGTACGGCAGTACTGTAGTAGCAGTAGTGCTGTATGTGCTCCATATAACGCGCTGCACTGCAGCAGTGTGATACTGCCACTACTACCATAGTACACCACTATTCCTACAGTGCTGGCGGGGACGCATGTGGTCAAAGCCGCTGGGGCCTTCGGTGGCCCTTCCGATTCGGCCACGAAAACTGTGAAGGGTGTACCGAATTCGATGACGGGGACGCGTGTGGTCACAACCACTGGGGCCTTCGGTGGAGCTCCCTATGGGGCCACGAGCGAAGTGAGGGGTGTGCCGAAATGGGTGGCGGGGACGCATGTGAACGTAGCAACTGGGACCTTCGGTAGAGCTCCCTATGGAGCCACGAAGCGTGTGAAGGGTGTGCCGAAATTGGTGGCGGGGACTCATGCGAACGTAGCCGCTGAGACCTTCCGTGGGGCTCCCTATGAGCCCACGAAACGTGTGAAGGGTGTGCAGAAACGGGCGCGGCACACTTATGAACGCAATCATTGGGGCTTCTGTGGAGCTCCCTAAGAGGCCACGAGTCGAGAGAGGGGTGTGCCGAAATGAGCGAGGCACGCATGTGCACGCAACCATTGTGGTCTTCGGTTGAGCTCCCCAGGAGGCCACGAACCGTGTGAGGGATGTACCGAAATCGGCGCGGGACGCGTATGAACGCAGCCCTTGGGGCCTTTGGTGGAGCTGCTTATGGGGCCACGAACCGTGTGAGGGGTGTGCCGAAATGGGCGCGGGACGCATGTGGTCAGAACCATTGGGGCCTTCGGTGGAGCTCCCTCTGGGGCCACAAAACGTGTGATCGGTGTGCCGAAACTGGCGCCGAACACACGTGCACGCAGCCACTGGGGCCTTCGCTGGAGCTCCCTATGGTGCCACGAACCGTGTGAGGGGTGTGCCGACATGGGTGGCGGGGACGCATGTGATTACAGCCACTGGGGCTTTCAATGGTGCCTCCTTTTGGGCCACGAACCGTGTGAGGGGTGTGCTGAAGTGGGCGCGGGCGGTATGCGAACGCAACCAATGTGGCATTCCGTGGAGCTCCCTATGGAGCCACGAAGCGGGTGAGGAGTGTGCCGGAATGGGCGCGGTGGCGTCATGCGAGCGCAGCCACTGAGGCCTTCGGTAAAGATCCCTATGGGGCCACGAAGCGTGTGAGGTGCGTGACAAAATGGGTGCGGTGGTGTCATGCGAGCGCGGCCACTGGTGCCTTCGGTGGAGCTCCCTATGGGATCACGAAACGTGTGAGGGGCGTGCCGACATGAGTGCCGCATTCTCATGCGAGCGCAGCTACTGGGGCCCTCGGTGGAGCTCCTCATGTGGCTACGAAGCGCGTGGGGGGTGTGAGGGAGCATGAGGGGGCGGGGGGAGGAGGACGACGACGAACGCCTATTGGGAGGAAGAAGAGGAGCATCCAGGCTGCGGGAGTCTGGGCCGCCTCATGGAATGCGCTTCGCGTGCGCGAGCACACTTAGGCAAACACATGCATTTCCCATTGCCCACACGGCAGGCTGTTTACGTGACGAATCGCGCCTTGGCTTCTGACACCGCGTGGATCTTCCAACCTTGAACGATCGCGGCTTTGCGATGGCGCAGATCTTTCGACGTCGGCCGACTCCAGGTCACCGGCGGCGTTCAACCTTGACCGCCATCGCCAAGGTCGCCGCCGCGTGGACACGACACTGGAGTGTGCCGAAAGCGGCACGCGTGTGTCGGTGCGCCCGTGACCGTGTTTTTCTTGACGCGGCCGCCCGCCAACCCGCCCCAGTGCCCGCGGCTGCCCGCGCAGATGGGCGGCGAAACGGCAGCCTTATCAAACCCTGCAGCCAGCTGCTCCCTCGGCCGCAGGACCGAAGAGGTATGGCCGAGCAGCCGCGCGGTCTTGGAGATGGAAGCCCCCAGAGTGGGGCCCGAGCAGATGGGATCCGAGGACCGCGCCGCGTCGCCGACGCATCGGCGACGCCCACACGGAGAAGGCCTGGCCCCAGATGGCGCCGAATCGCCGATGCGTCGGCGATACGGCGCGGTCCTCCGACCCACCCCTGGGAAAATCAAAAGGTGCCGATGCCTCTACGCCCCAACCCTCTCCCGGGGTGCGTTCCGACCAGAATTTCGAGGCGAACCCGACGGTGGCGACGAGGGCCACCCAGGAGGCCCAAAAAGGGGAAAACAGGCGAAGGGTAGCAGTCTTAGGAGGCCACATGAGAACCCCGCCCTCCCCCTCAGAAATCGTGGAGGGTAGGGGTAGGGTTCGCACGTGGCCCCCTAAGTCTGGGTGCCTTTTACTCCTCCGAACCCCATCTGCTCGGGCCCCACTGCAAGGGGGCCCTTCCGAGGGGGTGCCGCCGCCGTCCCCGACGTCGCACGCCCGCGGCCAGGCGGCCGGCCCCGGTGGCCGTGGGCGGGCGCGCGGCGGTCGTCGAGCGGCCCCGGCAGCAGCGGCCGCAGAGGCACTGGGCGAGAGGTGGCCTTCCGTGCAGGTGCGATGCCACGGCAGCGGCGCGCGGCTGGCCTGGACCTGATGCCCCTGGCGCGCCACCCCGTGAGACGCCGGGCGCTGCGGTGCGGTTCACGCCGGGCGTCCGCACCCCGCTTGTGGCCCCGGGGCCAGCACATGTCGGTCCTGCTTGGGAAAAAGGTGCAGCACGGAGTAGAGGAAAAAGAACTATGCACATGCACCGATTCTGGCCAGGCCCATCCTGAGCCCAGGATCGGTGCACACGCCCTCCTGCCTCGGCCAGGAAGGCACATGCACCGATCCTGGGTCAAGGATGGGCCTTGCCAGGATCGGTGCATGTGCATAGTTCCCTTTGCCCGAACGGAGATGCTAGGGCTCCCAACTTCGCGCTTCGCGCTCCGCGAAGCGCGAAGCGCGAATAACTTCGCGCTCTCGCGCCGCCCCCCCAAAGGGAGAAAAGGAGGACGAGGAGGAGGAGGGAGGAGGGGGAGAAGGAACGAGGACCGCGAAGCGCGAAGCGCGAATAACTTCGCGCCCTCGTGGGAGCCCTTGGAGATGGGCCTGGACGGGCCAGTCGTCACGCTGCGCAACCGTTGCCTCGCGTCGGATCTCGGGGCCCCGAAAAAGCCGCGCGGCAGGTCACCATGGCGAGAGGCCACCAACATAGGGAGGGCACGCGCGCAGCTGGCCCCGTCGGCATCGCCCCGCGCTGGCTGGGGTGAGGTCGGGCCTGTCCCCCTACAGGGGGGTTCTGGATGGAAAAATCAAAAATGCTCCACAAAGATTCAACAGATGCCCAAACATACTCAAAAAAATGGTCCACATACCATTTTCTGACTGCCTTTGAGTGTCCCCCCTGTAGAGGGACAGGCCCGACTTAGGGCTGGGCGCGCCCGTTCCGTCTACCCGCTGCAGAGGCGGTCGCCAGGCAGCCGTCGAGCGACTCCGGCAGCAGCAGCAGCAGCAGCAGGTTGCACGCGCGGTTCTCCTCCTCCTCCTCCTCCCCCTCCTCCTCCTCCCCTCCTCCTCCCTCCCTCCCTCCCTCCCTCCCTCTCTCCCTCCCTCTCCCTCCCTCCCTCCCTCCCTCCCTCCCTCCTCCTCCTCCTCCTCCTCCTCCTCCTCCTCCTCCTCCTCCTCCTCCTCCTCCTCCTCCTCCTCCTCCACCGTAGCCATTTTGGCTCAAGACTGATGCTTTGGCGGGCTGAGCCCGCATTGGCAAGACTGGATACCGCTAGTCCGCGGCAGCAATCAAGAGTTCGGCCTGTTCGCCCAGGTCTGGATCCAAGAGCCACCAGGGTTCTTGGACTCGCCCGCGCCAGTGTCCCATCCGCAGCGAGATGGTCAAGACGTATGGGCAGAAGTTCGCATGGTGCCCATGCGGTCAATGGAGTTACAACTGGCGTATCATCGAGAACAACTACAAGTGTGTCTTCTGCAAGAAGGCGCTCGACATATTCGCTCCTGGTGGAAAGGGGTCGGGCTCGGGTGGCACGGGCAACGCTACTAAGGCCCCGTGGGCGGTGGACAGAGGCGCTTCGTCCCCTCCATCCACATCCACGCTCGCGCTGCTCGACCAGTTGCCGCCCTCGCTTCGTGGATCACCAGCGGCCAAGGCCCTCCAGGATGAGGTTGAGAAGGAGCAGCAGGAGCAGAAAGCGAAGTTGGCCAGCAACCCGAATGCGGCCAAGCAGCGGATGCTGCGCGCGGACAACGAGAAGGAGCAACAGACAAAGAAGCTACAGCGCCTCGCCAACAAGATGGTTGCGGCCCAGAAGCACTTGGATGAGTGCCTCAAGGAGCACACGGAACAAACCAAGATCGTCTTCCTGGCAGAGAAGGAGTGCGATGAGGCGACGAAGGAGTACACCAACCTCAAGCGCAAGGATGGTCCCTTTCAGACGGCCACCGCGCCAGATGGACATACGGTGCTCTTCGCAGTTGACGAGTCCTTGTTCGCTGATCTCGACCAGTATGAGGACAATGCCAAACAGTCCATTCTCCAGTGGAAAGCAGAGATGGAGAGGCACCATCAGGAGCTTCTTGAGGGGCAGCAGAGGTTCGAGGCAATCATGCAGGACATCAAGCGGACGATCGAAGCCCCTGCGAACAAAAAGCGGAAAGCTGAAACAGGAGAAGGTATACCAGCAGGTGGGGAGGCCAGGCCTGAGTCACCCCCAGCCACGCCCGCCGACGCCAAGTCTCCTTCCCAAGCTCTCAGCGAGGAGGAGGCGAAGCAAGGAGCGGAGGCAGTTGCTCAAGCCTCCGGTCAGCGGCGCGGCTCAGCGCTGGAGGAACCCCCACGTCATATGCAGATGCCAAGGCCATGCGCGAGAAGATGTCTTCTGAGCGTGGTATTATTGATGCTGGTGGGGGCGTCGGAGGGGCAAATTGTTCCTGATGAGTGCTTCCTGTTCGGCAATATCACACAGTGAGGTCCTCAGGCGGCCCGCTACGTTCACAAGGCTAAATCTCACTACAAGGTCCTCGCGTTCTCGGAGACTCATGTTGAAGAAACGAGACTCGCAGATGAAAGAGATTTGCTTCGGAAGGATGGTTGGAAGTTGTCGGCGACACCAGCGTTCAGGAATAATGCAGGGTTCTCAGCAGGTGAATGGGTTCTGGCGAGGTCGCATGTTGCTACCACGACGCTGGGCGGTCTCAGAAAAGAGTGCATCGACAGCGGCAAGAAGGACCCGTTCCGTGGGTTTGCGCCGTTACTGTGGCACATGCAATCGGGAAATGTTCTCATTACCTCTGCTTATATGTTACCAGGCATAGGCATCCAGAGGAAGAATGAGGACACCATGAAAGCGTTAGCAGGCTTCCTCCACATGACTACGGACCCATGGATCGCGGTCGCTGATTGGAACATGTCACCCCACGAGCTACTCAAGCCGGAGCGGCCATCAAAGATGAAGGCAGAGCTGGTCCTCCCTGATGGGCAGATCACGTGCGACAAAGGTGCCAAAGGCGGATTATATGATTATGCAATGGTCAAGGAAGGCTTCAGCAAGCTTATGTCCTTGGAGGCGGTCACGGATGTCCCCTGGGCTACTCATTGTGGAGTTGAAGTTCGGCTCAAAGGTGTATCTCAGAAATGGTGGCATCGTTCTCTCTCGCTCGTCGTGCCCCTCTCTCACTATGACAAGCCCAAGGTGGAAGCCCCCAGCAGCAGCAGGCGTTCGGCTAGAAAGAAGAAGGAGGAGGCTCAGAGAGTTGCTAACCTACCCCCGGCGTTCCAGGACCCCATGATCGAGATGATACAGGAGATGGAGGACCAGGAGGTGAAGGAGGTGGTAGGTTCCCACATTCAGGAGGAGGAGTGGGACATCGGGTGGAAGAAAGCCAGAAGTATATTGTCAAATGGCCTGGACCTCTCCAACTTCCCGATCCCCGAAACACCCATGTTGCGCCGCGCGGAAGCCCAGACCCAAATATATTATCAATACGGGTTGTGGGCTACTGCTCTGGAGGAGACGGTCTTGCCCCAGGAGAAGGACGAGGAGGAGGAGGAAGCCAGGGGCCGCAGGGATGGCTTCGAGCTCGTTTGGACATGGTCCAGGGCGTCTCCAGGAAGGGTGCACGTCCAGGACCTCCCCTCGGAGCACTGGGCCGTCATGTCCACGCTCATAGGCAGGTGTCGCAGGTTCGTCGCAATGCAATTGGATTGGGAGCAGCAGATTACCATCCTCAGGCGCATCGGCTCTTTGAGTGATACCATTCTAGCAGGCTGCAGTGGAAAGTATTTTGGGACATTCGGCACTTCTGAGCGCACAGGGTGGAAAGATCTGATTGGGTTGCTTCGTGGGGTTTCGGAGGCGCAATGGCGAGCTGTATTCGAGCACCAGGATCTCGGAGCTCAAGCTGCTCCATCATCGCACCCACAGTCGGATCTGGACCCAGGCATCCGACAACTCATCAGCAGAACACCACAGTTTCAGTGCCACCCGTACACGGACATCCCATTTGGGGTCAACGAAGGTGCACTGCAGGCCATCCTCAGCCAGAAAGGCCAAGCGGTTTCACATATGGATGGCCCAGTTTCCTCAACTACGGCTTCAGTCAGAGTGGCGACCAACCTCGACTGCGAGATCGACCCGTTCGACCAGATCGAGGAGCAACACGACCGCCAGGACGGCCCTGACGGTCCATCTTCCCCACGTTTATGCAGGATTCAGTCGGAAAGCTTACGTTCAGAACGCCAGGGTGACCCTGGCGTTCCATCTTCCCCACGTTTATGCAGGATGTCTTCGGAACACATACCGTCAGAACGCCTCCATCCAGAAGAAGACGGAGATCCACTTGCTGCTGAGGGGCACCAGTATCCTCGGCCAACGTCCATGGACTTCATGGATCGAATATACCATCTCACTGACAAGTTGGCGATGCGTGCGAAAGCTGGAGCAGTGGGAAAAGGTCAGCAGAAGTTTTGGCCATGGGTCAGAAGCACTTGGATGAACCAGCCTGGTCGATCGCACAAGCATGTCAAAGACAAACCAGTCGACACTACCGAGATACAAGGGATTGCTGACCCCACGGTCATCATGCACGCCAGGCAGCAGCACTGGCAGAAGATCTGGACGGACCAAGTCGATACCATGGACGATATCATCCACGGCTTGGCGGAGTGCCATCAGCAGGCGCTAGAGGAGGACCTCCCCTCCATCACCCTTCAGGAGCTCGACGTCGCGCTGGCAAAGATGTCGGCGAAGAAAGCAAAGGGAGTAGATAATTTAAGCGTCAATGACGTGGCCAGGCTTCCAGTTGTGGGCAGACAGAAGTTCGTCGACTTTCTGAATGATGTGGAAAGGGCGGGCACGTGGCCACGGCAAATACATGCGACAATTTGAGCATCGGCAGCCAAACCGAGAGGAGGAGACCGAGTGCTGGGGCTCTTACCGACGACGGGCAAAAATTTGGAGCCAAGCTAGAACGGGGGCTGCTTCTGAATGGTCTCAAGGCCTAAGCGCGTTCTGGGATACTGCGCTCCAGGGCTCCTCTGCCCTGCGGGCAGCCATAGTTCGTTCCCTCATGGACGAGGCCGGCTTTGTCAACGGCAAGCACGTTGCCGCTTTGCGTATGGATCTGGAAAGGTTTTATGACAGTGTATCGTTGTGCAGACTTATGTCCACGGCAGTGAATGTCGGGCATCCAGCTATCATAGTCAAGCTAGAAATTGAAATGTGCATCGCTCCGCGTTTTCTCAAGCTAAAGGATTGGGTCAGTGATATTATATACGTCTCTCGCTCGCTTGTGGCAGGAAGCCCCACAGGAGTCCAGCTTGCGAAGGTATTTCTGCATCCCATATTGAAAAAAAAAGGTACACAAGTGGCTCCTGAGCCGATGTTGGCAACTTACATAGACGACACGGTCGCGAGAGCTGAAGATGATGATCCACAGCGGGTTCTTCGCATCATGGTCAAGACAGGCAAGGAGTTCAAGGAAGCGTTTGAGGAAGCAAGGTTAGTGGTCTCAGACAAGACGGATCTCATCGCGTCGTCGAAGAAGCTGGGTCAGCAGTGTGCTCGAGAGCTCCGTGGCATGGGCATTCCTGTCAGTTATAAGGTATCGGCTACGGACTTAGGCATAGATGCCAGTGCGGGCAGATCCAGAGTTTGCAAGAAGGCGAATCAGAGGAAGAGAGCCGCTGATCGACGACAGGCACGAGTACTCCGACTACGACGTCTGGGGCCGAAGGTCAGGAAGGTATGTAAGAGTTTGTGGGCCGCGGGTGTCCAACCTCAAAGTATGTATGGGCATCGGGTCTTTGGCTCCCCTCCCAGTCGTCTCCTCCGCGTTAGACGACAAGCAAGTTCGGCGATTGCGGGCGCAAAAAGGGGAATATGCTTAACGTCGGTCCTCGAGGCTACCATGGGCAGCAAGGATCCAGGTTTGGAGGTGCCCAAGCAGTTGGTATGGGGATGGCTCACTGTGTGGTTCAGCAGGCCCGATATACATCAGCAAGTCAAAAGATCGTGGACGGCC